CTGGTACTGTTAAGCGAAGACGTTGAAACTATAAAACTAAATACGACAACGTTAATGAAAGCCGGGAAAGAACTAGGACTCGAAATAAACGTGGATAAAACAAAATATATGGTTAGCTGCAAAAATGGCGATACTACTGGTGATATCGATATAGATGGTAATATGTTTGAACAGGTAGATAAATTTAGGTATCTAGGTTCTACGATAACTAGAAAAAACGAAATTGAAGAAGAGATTAAGGTTAGACTGAAGGCGGGGAATGCTTGTTATTTTTCTGTGACAAAACTACTTAGTTCGCGCCTCTTGTCCCGAAACTTAAAAATTAGAATCTATAAAACAATTATCTTACCTACAGTTCTTTATGGATGCGAAACTTGGCCGCTTACATTAAGGGATGAGCAGCGTCTTAAGGTTTTTGAAAATAAAGTATTGCGTAGAATATTCGGACCGAAAAAGGATGAGTTAACCGGAGAGTTCAGACGGTTACACAACGCCGAATTGCATGAGATGTATCCGGGTAATATAATTGAGGTAATTTCATCGCGGCGAATCAAATGGGCTTGTAAAGTTGTTGGGCTTAGTAACGAGAGAATTCCTAAAAGGTTAATATTTGCTGTGCCGAATGGTAAGCGTCCGAGGGGTAGACCAAAGCGAAGATGGGAAGATTGCATTAAAGCCGATCTGAAGGGACTGGGTTTGGACGGCGAACGGTGGAGGGAGGTGTGTAACAAGCGATTGGTGGTGTCGGCATCGAACCTTCGGGTTCGCTAAGCCTTATTATTATTATTATTCTTATGTTCATACCCTAAGCACCCTGAACAACTTTCGAAGAAATCGCATAGGTCACTGCTCACGCACTTTACACCCCCTTTTAGCACGTTCATTGACTGTACTATAAGCAAAATGTAAATATAAAAAAATGTTTTTTCAGATCCCTGCTCACGCACTCTATAATTCCTGTATTGATTGGACTATTAATTTATAAATTTTTGCATAAAATCTCTATTTATCTATAAAAAAAATTATAAATCGTAACAATTACCTGCTTTCCAATTAACGTAATGTGTTTTTTAATTTAAATTAAAAATAAAATCACATTTAAAATCTAATAAATTTTGAGCAATTTAAATACATGTATATAATTGAAATGGATCCAAATCACTTTAACTAATTTTAACAACTAAAACCTGTTATTTTATAATCTATTTCATTTAAAATATTACATCAATTAAAATTTTATTTTATCTAATTTTTTTGGCAGTAATACAATTTAATTAAATGATCTTTCTTGATTAATTCAAACCTTTTTTTTAATTTTAGAAATATTTAAACTCTAGTAGATGGGGAGGAGGATTCTTTGGAATCTGCCATTATATTGACCATTTTTTCTTCTGTTATATATAAAATTATTTTAGAGAATCCATTTTATATAATTTAACAGTCATCTTAAATGATGAAAAAGAATACAAAAATGGTTATCCTGTGTATTATTTTCTTTTATTTATAATATCTGTGTAGTGTGAATTAAATTTTTTGTATCATTTCTAAAATTTACTGCCCTATCCTCATACCTCACATATATATAGTGCCTTAATTATTCTTCTTTTTCTCATATTTGTTTGTTTGTGGAATGTTTTTGGATCTTTTCTATCAAACCTGTGAGCTTTTTCAACCACATGTTGCACCAGAGCTGTTTTTATTTTTATCCTTTCTTTATTTTTATCATCGTTCTGATGCTGATACATCCTTTTTTCTAATATTTGTCCAGTTTTGCCTATATAGATAAATGGACAATTTAAACATTCTACTTTATAAACCACACCAGACTGCTTTTCTAGTGGTATTTTATCTTTCATGTTTGTGTACCAATGTCTTATTTTATTTTTAAGCTTATACGCTAGATTAATCTTATCAAGATCATATTTTTTTATTGACCTTTGTATATTTTCCAAAAGCCACGTATGTACATTTGACATAAGTTTTTGGTTTTCTAATTTTTTGGGTATCATCTTCTTTTTTTTTGCCTTTCATTGTGTGCATACCAAATTGTCTTATTTTATTTTTAAGCTTATACGCTAGATTAATCTTATCAAGATCATATTTTTTTATTGTCCTTTGTATATTTTCCAAAAGCCACTTATGTACATTTAACATAAGTTTTTGGTTTTCTAATTTTTTGGGTATCATTTTTTTTTTTTGCCTTTCATTGTGTGCATACCAAAATTTATTTATGATATTCTATGGATAAAAATTATTCTCCAGAATATTGACATTTTTTTCTTTTACCTTATTTATCCACGGTTTATCTACAATATTGATAGCTTTGTATATTAAATTATTTAATATATTGAGTTTCTCATTTTAGGGGTGATTAGAAAAAAAAATCATCATGGTTTCGCTGGTCTCTAGTTTTTTTGGTCCATTGGGTGGCAAGATTATCATTATCGTCTTTTGTAATTTCTATATCTACAAATCTTATTCTTCCATTCAACTCCTCTTCAACTGTAAATTGCAAAGAATTCCATCTATATTTTTGAAAATTATTCTCACTTTTTTTCTTCCACCACTTTTGTAACCTATTCATCACTACACCAGCCAGATTTATTGACAGTACATCTCCCGTGGAAACCCTCCTCCCACTGCTGCTGGAATATATTACCTTGAAGATTAAAAAAAAAAAGCTTTCACAAATTAGTTTTATCCCATATCTAGATGTTTCTTTGTTTTTCTACTGTATACTGTTTAATTTTTTCCCATCCCTCATTTATTATACTATATAAAATTTTCATAGGTAAAAAGAAGTTTTACATCAAAACTTATCAAAATTTCCTCTTTTTATATTTTTTAAATCTATTCTTTACGTCTATAAAGTTTTTCACATCATATTTATTATTTTAACTTTTAAAATCATATGCTGCTTTGAAAAAAATTATATGTAGGACCTTTCAATCCATTTATGATGGGGCTAGAATTAAAACCTTGGCCGGGCTTATGCAATTTTATCAAATTAAATAATTTGGCATGGTCTAACCTACTTTTCTTTTAATTTTTGTGAATCCTTATCATTTATAAATCCTTGTATTTTTATTTTTTTAAGATACAGACCAATTTCCATAATTGTTTCATCCATTGGATCCATTCTACATCTTTTATATGTCTGTTTATCACCTATTAATTTATTAATATTCTCAATGTAGAGCTCCTTTTCCATTGTGGCTACTCTTTTAGTCTTGTCTGATTTAACATTTATTAAATTCCAATTTTCTTGTTTTAATTTTCTCAAATCATCATTCCAATTTTTGCATTATTTCACATAAATTATTCTTTTTTTATGTTTATCTAAAAATAATGCAGTTTCTTAAGCAATTTTTATGATTTTAAGGAGTATCCAAATCTGCTATCATCTTTTCCGCATCTCTTGTTATATCAAAAATGTTTTTATTTATTGAAAGGGGAAATAAGTTGAAATTTTCAACTAAGCTAAGAAAATTAATTATATCTTAAAGTATAATTAATTTCACATTACTTAAATTTTCAACCAAATTTCTTTTATATAATATCAAATATTTTGAAATAATACTTGATTCAGATTTAAAACGTTTTAATTTATCCTTTTTATCAATATTATTACTATTTATAAAAGTTCTATTTATATTTTTCTCTTTTATTCCATTGGCTCTTTTTCTCTTTATTTTTATTTTTCTATTTATTTTGTTATCTAATCTCTTAAAATAGACATCCATGCTCTTTTTTTTTTTTTTTTTCTTTCAAATTCCTTAAAAATACTACCGGTAACTTTAAAAATACTACTGGTGGGGGTAACTTTGGGACAGCGTGTAAAATTTAGTTTGTGGCGATTCCATGTTGGGTACACTGTGTTGGTTCAGTCAGCATGGATAGCTCATGTACTGTGCTATTACCTTGCAGCAAACTACTCTGTCCCAAATTTACCCACCCAGTCCCAAAGTTACCCCATTTTATGGTATTTAATCTTTCTAGAGGAATTTTTACTTTTTCTAAATATTTATCTTTATTTCTCTTAAATTCTATTAGAGCACCTTCCTTAATCTATTGTGCCTGCCTTGTTTCTAAATTTACTAATATTTTTGATCATACTAATCATTCATGATTCGATCCTTCTTAATATGTCTAATAAAATTAGGGTTAAAAAGATTCTCTATTTTTATTAATGGTTTTATGATGTGATTTGAAATCCTATTTTTATTGTTACTAGCTCCCTTATAATTTTCATAAGAAATTTAAATATTTTTTAAAACCAAACGTTAATTTATTAAGCAGGATAATTGTATTTCGATTATTTGTTGTGCTGAATTCTTCAACTTTTTGTCTGCATTTCTTCTGGATCCTCTTGTGAAGATAAAATAAAGAGTTATTTGATGTATTATTTTTAATTTTTTTTTTTATAAAATAACAGGTTTTAGTTGTTAAAATTAGTTAAAGTGATTTGGATTCATTTAAATTACTATATATATGTATTTAAATTTTTGATAATCTATTAAATTTTAAATGTGATTTTGTTTTTAATTTAAATAAAGTTTGTTTTTGAATAAAGTGCCCATTGTCTATTAAACAAGTAAAATAGACAGAAACAAATTTAAGTTGTTGCTCATAAAAAGACATTATGTTAATTGGAAAGCAGGTAATAGTTATGGTTTATAATTTTTTTATAGATAAATAGAGATTTTATGTAAAAAGTTACAAATTAAGCAAAATATAAATGTAAAAAAAGTTTTTTCAGATATGCTGAAGATGGCCAATGGCACATATGAATTAAAATTACAGAATAAAGGAGATTTTGTGGGACAGAAGATCAAAAAAAGCTTTTTTATTTATTAATTAAAATTTATTTCAATATGAAGTTCAAAATTGAAATCAACACATGAATTGAGCTATAATTTATGAGTACTATGTTAATTAATTGAATACCATATTTAATTATAATAATTATGTATATAACTGATGTATGATGTTTATTTTAGGATGTTTACCTTGAAACTGGAAATTACTGCATTGTTACTGCTAAATTTCCAGGAGGTCAAGATATTGGAGAGATATATGGTCAAATAACTATAATTACTGAATTTGAAACAATAGATATTTCTGTAAAATTTAAGGTTGACTATGGAAGCCTTGAAATTATCACTGACCCTGTAAAATTTAACAATTGCTTTCCTGTGAGTAATTCTTAAACTATTCTTGGCATGCTATCAGATGGGGAAACTTTACACCTTGGGTTGGGAGTAACATAACTCCGAAACTAGAATAATTTCTTTGATGAAATAAGCTCAAACTGATTTTGTTACTGGATTTTTTATGTAACTGGTAGTTTGTTTACTATAAAACAGATAGTTATTTCTGAAAGCTAGAAAGAAACAGGTGATTTAGGCGTAATGTTACTCCCCAAGGTGTAAAGTTCCTCCATTTTAATGTAGCTGTACTGCTAAATTGTAAGCCTAAAGGGCTTGAGAGGATAAAGTGACTCACCTCATAAGTAGTATAATAAGCTGAAACTGTGGGTAAGGTATTTTTGCAAGTTAATGATTTCATTATTACATTGTTGTTAAAAATGGAAACTTCAATCACCAATGTTGCTCACTTAGTGCTGGAGAAACAAAATCACTCAAAAAGGAGGGATATGCGTTGAATCATATAATCCTTGGATATGCTGATGACGTAACTGTCCTTGGATGTAATCAAGAAAACATTGAGAAACTCACTGCGACTCTTATAAGAGAAGCATAGTAAATGAAGACAAAACAAAATATATCATACTTCATCTTCTTCAAAGGCATGACAGATGAACTAAACGGTCCTTGGCCTACTCCAATACTCTTGCCCAGGCTTCTCGGTATCCAGCAAGCGACAGTGAAAGGTTATACGCAGCCAGATCTGTAGTTTCACTGTCTCTCCATCTTTCTTTTGATCTTCTTCTCACTTTCACTCTGTCTGGAAGACAAGAATAGAGCTTTCTGGCTGTCTGGTCATTGTCCATTCTTAATAGGTGGCCCATCCATCTCAACCGTTGTAATTTTACAAATTCTGAGACTCTTAGATCTCCATAGATTCTGTAAATTTTGCTAGTTTTCCATTGTTGCCACTCTCCATTCTCTTTGATTGGACCCAGAACACATCTTAACAGTTTCCGCTCGAACATGTCCATCTTGTTTAATGCTGTATCATTAAACACATATCTCTTGCATTCGTAGGTCTCAATGGGTATTATTAACGTTTTATATAGTCTCATCTTTGTTATGCGACTGATCAATTGACTCTTTAGAAGATGCATGATCGAGTATGATGCTTTACTGGCTCCTACAATTCGAACTTTTGATCTCCTCTCCAAGGCCTCATTTATTCAGCTCCCAAGGCATTTGAAACTAGATAAATTTTCAAAGGAGCTGTTTCCAACTATGTACATGTTCTGGGGATGCTTCAAATTCTTTTTCCTCATTACCATTATCTTGGTCTTCTCAACATTTACTTGAAGACCAAATGTCTAGCCTTTTCCTGTAACCTTTCAAATAAATCTTTGATGTTTTGGATATACCTTCCGGTGATGGCGACATTACTATTATACACTAGTACTGGACAGCTTTTACTGAATATAGTCCCCCCTCTATCCAAATTTGTACGGATGATAATGATATTGATATTAAAGAGAAGAGGAGGCAGAAGAGGTCACTTTACCACAACTGACTATATTACACATTGTGCATTTAGTGAGTGATGAGCTTGGAAGGGATACCAATTTCTTTCATTGCCCCAAAAAGTTCTCCTCTCACAACATTATCGTATGATATGATGTATGATGATAAAATCTATAAATAGAATCCACATTGTATTCTGGAATTCTTTCATTTTTGCTCACATTTGCTTCAGAGAGAAAATTTGGTCAATGGTAGTTCTATTTGGTCGGAATCTACCCTGGTAATCTCCAAGCTTTCTCTCAAAATAATACAGTAGGAGGTTATTGAGGGCTATAGAGAATATCTTGTATGTATGCCGCATGGGCCTGAAGATTTCTTGTTTTTCATTTTATCCATTATTAGAAGAATGTCTTCTGTATCTGATGGGATGTCCTCGTTTATATTCCCTTCTGTTTCCAAAATAGTTTTGTTCTGCATTTTCATTGTTGCTCTTTTGGTTCAATAGTGCTTCAAAATGGTTTCTCCAGGATTCCTGTATTTTGTCATCTGCTATCAGGAAGCATTGCTCTTTGTCGCTTATCACACTATTCCACTGCCTTAGGGTATTCCTCTGCTCATTCATGTATTTATAAAACTTCCTGGTTTCATTCTGAGATCTTGTGAATTCTTCATTCTTTATGTTTTCATTCAGCTTATCTATATACTTTTTTCTGATAATCTTCCTTGCATATTTCCTCGCACCGTGATACTCCTTTCGGGTGTACCTTGTGTCTCTGTTTAGCCATTTCAATCTCTTACAACTTCAGGTTTTTATGGCCATGTCGCATTCCATGTCATACCAAGAGTTCTTGAGGTTTCATTGGTCTGCCTCACAGTATTCATCTGCAGCCTCTGTTATTATTTGTTTGATATTGAGCCACTGGGTTTCTATTTCTTCCATTTGGCCATTTATGTCCTGACACTTCCCTGTACAATCTTGCAATTTTTCTTGGAGGTGTTTATTTACTTGTTTTATTTTCAACTTTTTAACATTCCATTTTTTTGTCTTTTGGTGTCTATATATTTAAAATTTTGTCCTAAAAGCAAAAGTTGCTATTATCAGGACATTATTTGAGTTAATATCTAGTCTCTAATAAGACCTTACATCATTTACCTCGTTAAAATGTTTGATGGAACTAGCATGTGATTAATCTGCATAGCCACTCCGTTGGGTGAACACAGGTGTGATTATGCTTTTCCTTGTGTGGGAATATTGTGCTCATCACTACCAGGCTCCATGAGGTCACAAAATTTATCATCTTTTCTCCATTATTGTTTGTTTTATTGTGGAGGCTGTTCTTCCCTATCGTAGGCATAAATATTTCTTCTTTCCCTACCTGGGTGTTAGTACATTACCGAGTACTAATTTTATGTCAGTTGTGGTGCAAGTTTGAAAAATCCTTTCTAGTTCTTCATAAAATCTGTCTTTTCCTTCCTCTCTCTTTTCTTCTGTTGGTGAGTGGACATTTATGAATGCCGCATTACATGTTTTTCCTCTTATTTACAACAAACATATTCTTTCATTAATAGGTTTATAATCTAGTACTGCTGATTTCAGCCTTTTTGAGACTATAAATGCCGTCCCAAAAGCATGTTTATCCTGACCCCTTCTATAGAACATTACAGACTCCCGACTTTAAATACTGCCACTTCCCTTCCATCTAACTTCCTGAATGGCTGCCATGTCCAACTGCATTCTGTTAAGTTGGTCTATTAATTCTCTGAGGGCGCCAGCTCGATACAGCCTCCTAACATTTCATATCGCAAATCTGCTGAACCTTGTCCATTTGCCAGGTTGTTTCTGTAAATCATTCCAATGTCCGAGGCTTGTTTGTTGGTTTGCAGTAATATTAAAGGTTTTTACTTAGGGCAGGTTGTCAACCCTCCTGTTTTATCCGGACTTGGGAACAGCAGCGGGGTCTAGCAAGCTAACCCCACAATTAAAAAAAGTTAGTGAGTAAGGTATTTTTTCAAGTTAATGATTTCATAATCACATTGCTGTTATAAATGAAAACTTCAATCATCAATGTTGTTCAACTTAGCACTGGAGGAGGTGATAAGAACAAAATCACACTGAAATGGAGGATTACACCTCGGATTGAATCATAAAAGATTTGGATTCGCAGATGACATAACTGTCCTTGGATGTAATCTAGAGGACATTGAGAAACTCGCTAAGATTCTTATATGAGAGTAAATCGGCTTACAAGTAAATGAAGACAAAACAAAATATATGATAATTAGCCGAAAATACCACCCCAATAACAATATCTGTACAGAAGGAAAATCATTCCCTAGGGTAAACAAATTCAAATACCTCGGATCTGCAATAAACTCTATGATTGACCAATGGTCAGAAATAGGCCAGCTTATAAAAAGCGAAAACAGAGCTTTCTTCTTCTTTTCAAAGGTATTGGAATCCTGAAAAATTTCAAAAAATCTCAAATTAAGAGTTTACAATGTTATGATAAAACTAGTTCTAGTATATTGCTGTGATACCTGGATACTAACCAGCATCCTAGAAAAAGATATTGTTAGAGTTAAGAAAAAAATCCCCCGCACAATAACCGTAGCTATCTGGGATCACAGTTCTAACACATGGAGAAGAAAGACCAATAAAGAGCTGCTTACAGAAACTGTTCAATCGATATCTCATGATATGAAGGTACAGAGGTTAAGATGGCCGGGGCATGTAGCTCGAAGAAATCCATCTGGAAACCCCTACATAATAAAGAATGCCTCAATAGTAGACAAAAGACCACATGGAAGGGCGAAGTACAGATGGATAAATCAATTCAACAAAGATGCAATAGAACTGAGTTCAAATAACTGGAAAGAATAGCCCAAGATAGACAGAAATGGATTAGGCTTGTTAAGGTAGCATAAGATCTACAAGGTCTGTAATCTACAAAGTCTGCCAGCAGAAAAAAATGAATTAATATAAGATGGGTGCCAGGAAAAAAAGAAATACAACTGACCTTCTATATTTTATTGTTCACAATGCATGGAATTATACCTATAAACTAAATCTACAAAGTTAATAAATGTAATCTAATATAAATATTATCTACAATAAATATTTCAATAATTTATTAAAATTCACAATAAATACTAACTCACTACAAACAATCTATCAAAATAACTCTGTAAATATAAATAACTAAAATAAACAATAACAACTCATCATGCACATTCTATTTATAATGCCAATATAATAATAATTAGTAGGATACTCAAAATATAAATATAGTAGAAGAATATCACAGGCAATAAATGTTCGGTTCAACTCTTAACCAGACGTCAACCTCCAGAAGGTATCAGATTTTTTACGATTCTCACAAGATATCCCCACTGCAAAGAAATAAGTATATAAATTTTCTATGACAATCGATTCATATGGTTGGTAGTAAATCGATAATGAGAATGACTCCTCGTTACTGAACTACACAAGGTAGTTTAGTTTAAATGCGAAATACAAAAGGAAATGTGTTACCTGCTTGTAGAGATTTATCCTAATATAGGTGAACACTTCTATTGGATTCTATTTCACATAACATAAGCACGAGAGACACTAAGTTGGTTCCTCCAACAGTTTTTTGAACCTTCCTACTGTAGCCTCATCTCAATGTAGTCATCCGTTATGGTTCACAGCTCCAATTCTCCAATAAAGGCCCTCCCCCTCACAATATCCTAAAATTATTAATTGTCTCAGAGAAATATTTTTCACTTCTATCCAGAAAGCTAAACATTGGTGTTTAAAACAACTAAACTGTTAATCATTTTTATATAATATTTTTTCTTTTTCTATTTATTTGTTTTTTATTTTACTTTTCACTAATATGAAGATCTCATGATTTACAGAGTGCCATATGCAGTGCAGAACTGATTGTTGAATCACGATTTACGATTGGAATGGCAGTTACTGGTCTAATGAGTATACCTGAGCATTCGAGGCTTGGTTTCCTTCCATCATCTTCTACTCATATATTACCATTTACACGTACCTTTCTTGGTTATGTAACTTGGAACATGACAGGAAATGATTACTTATCATATATTGCCAATTCATCTGGTAATTTCATCATTAAATTTATTTTCATTTTGTAAATAATGTTTTCATCTTATCACTAAAACCTACTGATACCCTAATTTGTGATTAGATTTTAACTCTATCCATTAGTTGAGCACTGATTACTGTTTTAATGAATTGTTCTGTAATATCCATTATACTTACCAAATGGAAATAAAACAATGATATTTTCTGAGTAAAGTTAAATTGATAGCTATCTATAGTCTCCAATTAGCTTATTTTTCTTTGTCTGATACTTAATGTAATAATTGCGAAAAAAAAAAAAAAAAAAAATCACATTAGGTAAGTTTTCACATTTGTTGCAAACAGTATGGACATTTTAACTAGCTAGTATATGGGTGTTTTGGTAAAGCTATATTCAGGATTACCATATTTTCTGGGTTATAATTCTTGAGAGGTTATCCATTTATGTAGGATTAGTAAATTTCAATGATTAGAGGTTTCTTGATATTTCTTTAAAGAAAAATACTTTTTAAGTATCTAGCATAAAATTTCTTAGATTTCTGAGATGTCATTGTTGTAGTAGTTTGTTTGTTATATCTTAAAATAAAATTAATTAATACCTAAAAGTAAAACCAAGTTCAGATATACACTTTTGAGAAAAACCAAAGATCACACACTGTTTTGAAGCCATTTTGTTGAGAAACATTGTATAAAACTGTTCATTATTTTATAAATTAATGCCTGGGCCTGGATTTATATATAGTAAAAACTCAAAAAATATGGTCATACAATATGCAATAAAAACTTCAAATATGCAGTAATAAAGCATAACATATGCAGTGAAAAAATCTCTAAATATGCAATGTCTAAAATATTCAATTAATCTAGTATGTTTTGAAATTTTAAAAAAAGTGGAGGAAGAATTTAAAATGAAATAAAATTATTAATTATTATTTATTATTAAAAACAGAAAATAAAAATATATAGGAAGGAGATGGTCTGGGGTTGCGGTCATAAAAAGGCTAAATAGTGGTAAAACTATTTTATGTGGTAAAATAGTTTTACCACTATTTAGCCTTTTTATGACCGCGACCCCGGACCATCTCCTTCCTTTATAATGCAATGGTCAACTATTAAATATTCAAAATAAAAATATGTTTGTTAATGGTTAAAAAATGATAATATAAAATATAGTAATGATGTAGAGATGGTTGACCATGATATTATATGAGATGTAGTTGATCGGAGGGTGCAGTCAAATAAATACTAAATTATAGAAACAGTATTATTTAATTATTATGCCTCCCTAGAGGGCAAGCCGTGGCATGCTTTAGAATGCTGACAGGCCACGATTTCCTTCAGAAGCACCTCCACCGCATCGGTGTAAAAGATAGCCCGACATGCCCTCTATGTTCCTTAGACATGATGACAGGAGAACATCTTGATACATGCCCTGCATAACAGGACATAAGATGTTGCTTTAATGAAATGGACAGCTTTTATGCTCGGAGAGCAAAATTGTATTGGACTGCAAGAGCACGCATGGCTAATGAAGCTGGCGTTACTTAGGCGTAGGAAAAAAAAAAAAAAAAAATATTATGCCAACATTTCGACCCACCTTGCAGGTCATCAGGGCTATAAAAGATACAAAATATAAAAGGTACTTGATGATAATAAAATAAATGAATTATAAGTAGATATAAATAAGAAAAAGTTGTCTGATAAAGAAATAATAAGATGTTATCAAAGATATAGTAGGTGACAATGTAGTTAAATATCAAGTATTATATATAGGAGATACAAAAAAAAAAAAAAAAAATAGAAAATAAGTATAAATACAAATAGAAATCAAAGGAGAATAAGGTATGTAAGTTAAAAGTAAACAGATTGTGATAAAAAATAAGAAATGAGTGTATAACAATCTAATAAAGATTATATTTGATAACTGTAGATTAACAGATAAAGAAATGAATGTTAATGAATAAAGAGATTGAAAATTGAATAAGTATTGATATAGTAAAGCTAAAATAAGAATAAGATAACATAATAATAAGATATCAGTTCGTTGATGCGGTCCTTTAAGTTGGTTTTTGATTTACTCCAACCTAAAAGACCCCATACCTCTGCAACATCGCTCAAATGTTACTTCAATAGGACAACATTAGTTGTAATATCGTTAGGATAGATTTATTAAATACATACAACCCTATAAGAAAAAAAATTGTGAAGAGAAATTTAGAATATAAGTATAAATGTAAACAAGGTTATGATGATGAAAACAAGTTGTATTATATATAGATGATAATTGACATTCAGTTTTTTTGAAAGCGGTAATGGGATAGTAGACTACATAAAGATTATAATAAGGTGTATAGTTGAAGGATAGGTGTGTTAAGAAAGAATCATAATAAAAGTCAAACGTACCGTGGCATGTGGCACTGCGGGAGGCAGTTGAAACACTGGCAGAGTAAAAACAGCTCTACTACACATACATACATACACACATATATATATTTATACACACACATATTGATGCATATATACATAAATTCATACATGCATATGCATACACGCACACATAACAGGTAAAAGGAAAAGATGTAAAAAGAACTCTAAATGGACGTGAGAAAATTGGATAGTGGTTTATGATTAAGAATTTTTTAAAATGTTGATAATTTTGGAATAGGCGAGGGACAGTAAGTAGTTTAGACAGTAGTAGTTGGGAGTATGGGAGTTGGGAGTAGGGGAACTACTGTAAGTAGTTGGGACAATAAGTAGTTTGTAGTCTAATTGAATGAAAACACTTTCCGTATGTACTCTTTTGTCATGGTTTGATACTGTGGCAAGAATGGAGATGTTGTCAAAGTCTAATGTGTGATTTGAGGATAAGGCGTGTTCAGAGAGTTTAGAAGTAGTAGAGTTCTTAGAAGTAATTGCGTATTTGTGTTGGTTGATGCGGTTTTTAAGTTGGTTTTCTGGTTTCTCCAATACAAGCAGAGTTACAATTGGGGGTAGAGCAAGGAATGCAGTATACAACATTTGAGTGATGTTGCAGAGGGATGGGGTCTTTTAGGTTGGAGTAAACCAAAAACCAACTTAAAGGACCGCATCAACCAACTGATATCTTATTATTATGTTATCTTATTCTTATTTTAGCTTTACTGTATCAATACTTATTCAATTTTCAATCTCTTTATTCATTAACATTCATTTCTTTATCTGTTAATCTACAGTTATCAAATGTAATCTTTATTAGATTGTTATACACTCATTTCTTATTTTTTATCACAATCTGTTTACTTTTAACTTACATACCTTATTCTCCTTTGATTTCTATTTGTATTTATACTTATTTTCTATTTTTTTTTTTTTTTTTTGTATCTTCTATATATAATACTTGATATTTTAACTACATTGTCACCCACTATATCTCTGATATCATCTTATTATTTCTTTATCAGACACTATGTTTGACCATAAAAACATCTATAAAGCCACATGGCTTACCCCTGGCAACAACATTAGTACCCAAATTGACCATATTCTGATTAGTTCTAGACAAAGGTCCATGGCAGTGAGAACATTCAGAGGAGCGAATGTTGACAGTGATGACTACCTGGTCGTATCACGAATTGAGCCTGAATAAGTAATGCTCATAAAACGAAAGGGGCTCGAATGGAAAGGATCAATACTCGGAAACTACCTGAACCAGAGTATTAGGAAGAATTCACCTAGAGACTTGATCAGGCTTTAGAAGGGGGCCCTTATGTAGATATGGTGAACGTAAATACTACCAATAGTTTGCTACCAAACAGACTGCAGAAGAGGTTTTGGATACGAAGGAAGCCCATCAATGATCTGAATGGTTTGACTCGGAGTGCCAGGCGGCAACAGACAGGAAAAATGAAACTTATAAGAGAATGATAGACAGACACAGAACTCGCCAAGCAGTTAAGGAATATAAAGACAGAAGGTGAGAAGAGAAATGCATTCATAGAAGGAAAAAGGAACAAGAAAAAATAGAGGAAATCGAAGAACAAAAGAGTCAAGCACATGTAAGAGCCTTCTACAAGAGTGTGAATGCTAGTCTTTAAATCTAGTCTTTAATCACCACATGTTTTTCATGACATGTTATTTTATATTATCTCTTATTCCCTGAATTAACCCATAAATCTATGAATTCATGAAAATAATAAATATTATTATAAAGTGTTTCATGATTCTTGTGATAAATCATTAGAAAACTTTCTATTATTATATCTAACACCTGTACTTAACACATATTCATCTGGCAATTTTTTGCACTGCCATTCACAAAATACTGACATCTCTTTATCTCAAAAAATTAGAATTTAATTTATTTAAAATTAAAAGAACAAGAATTAATTCTTTTCTGTTCTCATTACTTAGCCAACACAATTGCTAATTGTTAATAAATGTATTTAACAGTTAAAATAATAGCCAAAAAAAATTATTTTCTGTAATATATAAATGACGAATTTTCGTCATTTGGCTATTGTTGATTATGAAATGATGAATTTCCATCATGCAGATGAATATGTGTTAACCTAAAGAAATAAAAGACATGCATCGATTCGTAAATTTTATTGAAAGGATAAATTTTCTTTAGTACGTATGCATAACTTCAAATTTAGAAGGCAAAGGGAAACCTTATGGTATTACTATTTCATATCTAGGTTAAAAAGAAAACTGTCTAATGCACCAATTGTAGAATAAAGTTACTATGCAAAAAATCAAAGTTTGTGAAGCAATTAGTAATTTCTTAAATTAATTATTTTTATAGTTATCACTTCTTATTTAACAAAAATCACGACTAACCAAAAATGAGACAAAACTTTAATTTCCTACTTTTCTGCAGAAAATCGGATTATTATTTATACAGGGAATCCTGTAGGTGGGCAAACAATGGGCCAGTTTTCAGCAGAAAAGTAGGAAATCCAGGTTCTGTGCTTTTAAGCAAGGCATGTTTTTTATTGAATAGGAAGCCATAAGTAAAGAATTATTTAATTTAAGTAATTAACAATTGCTTCAATGTAAACTAGACAAAATTTACTTCAAATGAAAATAGAGTTTGTCATTATTAAAACAATTTAAAAAGGACTTTTGAGTGGCTAAATTAAGCTTAGTTCTGGTTTTAAAAAACCATAAATTATTCACAATTTTTTTTTATCATCATACAACTATACTACAGATACCCCATCTTTAGAAAAACTTCCTCGTTTAATAAGCTTCAAGTTCATATTAATTAAGTTGAGGTTTATTAGGCAAAAAGTTGAAATTCACCTCAAGTTATGTAAATAATGTGATTTTCATCCTGTCACCTTAAACTACCCATTCCTGAATTTAAATTTAATGTTCCTGGTCCTAATATTTACGTGTTCATGAAAACGTAAATATAACATGACTTGATATGATGTCTGTGTGTGTGTTAACAGTCTACCTCAAAAACAAAAAGTCGTATGGAAGTGAAATTACATATATAAGGTTTTTATATGCTAGGGATATTACAGCAACTTTTTCATCAATCAATCGGCTGACCGGAAGTGGCACTTTATATAATGGACTAAACACATTTTTACAATTATCTCGAAAACCACTCTAATGATTTTGATTGAATTCATCATATCAGTGTAAAATTAAGCAGTTTTAATATTCAATATTAGCTTCCTCTAAAGTACCTTTAATGTTTTTTATTTGAAATAATTGACCATTTCACATTAATTTCTAATATGAAAATTAGTCAAATATAAAATATGAAAGAATTTTATAATTAATTAAAGGAAAAATAAGAGATCGTAACGGAGAATAATTGTAATTGAGGAACCAAGGAAGACAAGTGCACCCAAGCTCGCCCAAAAGATTAGAACACGCTTCCATACGTATCATGAGATTAATATAATACAGATTCTGATAATATTAAATGTATTTTACCATGAAATATATATATATAGAGAGAGAGAGAGAGAGAGAGAGAGAGAGAGATATTCCTAATAACTATCCTGTTCACCTAATTTTTAATTTAGACAATGTATGTGTTTTTAAGTGTTTATGCTATTAAATTTTAATAAAATGTACATGTTTGGTCCTTAAGTATTAATAATGGTTTATTGGTTTCTAGGTGTCCATAAATGGCTAGATACTTTAGAATTGCCTATTTATACTAGAGAATGGGATATAAGTTTACTTGTTACTCATTATGAAAATTATTTGAAAATGTCATCAGAATTGTTGAAGTTAGTTTTGTGGTTAGATACTACTGAAGTCAGAAATTTGAGCTTCAAAGCACTTATAAAACCTTCTTGGCCATCATTATCATCTATTCCTTCCAAAGTTATAGAATTCCCATTAACACAAGTTGGAAATATGTCTTACAAGGATCTTATGATATTAAATCCTTCCTCAAAACAGCCTCTGGTAGTGCAGCTTGTACTAGAGCCAAGTTATCCTTTATCAGCTGGACTTATAAATGATTTTCCATCCAGGTATTATCTTTGTTTTTTTTTCTAATATAATTAATTTTATTTTGTAAGAATAATTTTTTTTTTCAATAACCATTACAACTCTTCTATTGGGCTAGGAATTACCAACCATTTTCATTCAACGAAAGGACTTACAGCTAATAGTCATTTTGAATTCTAGATAATGCTCATCTGAACTCACAACTTTGGTCAGTCAATTGAAAGCCATTGCTTTATGTACAGAAATGTGAATTTAGGAAGCAAAATTGGACTTGATTAGATAACTGACGACTGAAATTTTAATAAGATGAACATTATGTTTCCTTAGAAGAGAGTTCACAGTGATTGACCATGTACTTGGTTGCGTTTTGAAAACCGACCTAATCAAAGTCTTAAAAAGAATCCAGTCAAGTGGTAGTAGATATGGGAAAAATTCAATTAGAAGATTTTTCTGTGGTTCTGTATGTTTTTTTTGGGATGCTAAATCTGAATTTGAAGATAGCAAAAGAACTTTCTTAAGGCATTCTGGGATATTAACAAAAAACAACTAAAATTTTGCTTTTTTTAATCAGTTTTTTGGCTGTGACCCTGAAATTACTATACATTTTATCATAAATACCACAGAATACTAATTTAAAGTAATTAAAATTTACATGCATAATTTATTGATATAGAACCAAGTGAGTAGTTACATCAAGATGATTGTTGGCGTACTTTTTTTGACATAGTAGTATTCGTCAGTTTTTACTTAATAAGTCCTAATATACACATTTCTCGCGGCGATGCATTATGTTAAAATTTATTTGGAACTTCCAATCTATACCCCCACATCTATCATTCTCAATAGAGAATTCTTGGTTAATTGAAGAATAATTTTTCAGCTCTTTTGGAACTCGGTTATGCCAGCTATTCAAAATGTATTTCTTAACCTTTTAAGTTCTACATCTTTCTCTGATTTCCCTTGAAACATCTGCCTAGACAAAGTTTGGTGAGTTAATCCAGTCAATGAATGATTATAGGTGAAAACGGAAAGAACATAATTGTTGACTTTGAGAGTTTGTTCGGAGTAGTTAGGAGGTAAACTTACTAAAAGTTCCCAAGAGGTGAGCCAAGAGTGGAGGGGGCACCCAGAAGGTAATGTTCTTCGGTTTTTCGCTTATTTCAGGGAAATATTCATCCTAGTGATAAAGACGTTCAATACATAATTAAAGTTGAAAAAATTTGCTATAATATTGATAATATTCATTTTTTTTTGCTATCTCGCATGGTTCCAAAGATATCTGTGCTCAATATTCTCTAATTTATACTTTTTGCCTATATTTTATCTTTGTTTGCCTAGTCAACTCTTCATCTCTCCATTCTTTAAAAAAGCCTTGGGGAAGAATGTTGTTGAACATTAATTTTCTTCAAAAACATATACTATTTTACTATCTTATTCTTCAACCCTTCAAAAGTTAGAGCAATTGTAATTTAATTTGTTATCTAACATTTTGAAGAAAAACTTAACTTTCATTATTCTACTGCTCTAAATTTTTGTATAAGTCATTGTTTACATATAAATAGTTTGTACTATTTATATAAGTAGCACTTAGATAAGGAACATTTATTATATAGTATATTTTCAGGTACATTTGTACTTATTTAAAAGTATGTAGTATGATCCATAAGTGTTTGGCTCGAGAAAGAAGTAAAAGTGAAAGAAAAAAATTGTCTTATTATTTTTTAACATATTCTCCTTTAAGTTCTACACACTTAATACAACACACTTAGGCAACATATCTATACCATAAAAAAAATAATTTGCTTCTTTATTAGTAATATGTTTTTCCACAACTGTTTGGACTTTTTCATCAGTGTTAAATCTTCTCCCGCGAAGGTCAGATTTTAACTTTCAGAAAAGATGGAAGTTGCTAGGAGTCAAGTTTGGGCTGAAGATTGGATGAGAGATTTCTTGGAATCCGCAGTCCTCCACTGTGGCCTTGGTAATCAATAATCAATGTCACAGAACTGGTGAAGTAGAACAGCATAATATTCACCATTCTCTGTGGTGTTACTTTTTTACCCAAACCAATGGTAGCCATTACCTTTTTTGTTCACTGCTTGACTTTTGCCTTAAGCAGAGCTGCTTCTTCATTCCATGGACTCCATTTTGCTGAGTGGGTGGTAATATAGTACCATTGTCTCATCTGCAGTTACAATTGAGTCCAAAAAAATTTTGGGTCAGATTATTCATTCATCAGATTAAAAATTCATTGCAGCAGCTAAAACGTTCCTCTTTTTGAGTAGATGAAAGAATTTTGAGAACCCATTTTGAACTCGCCTTGCTCATATGCCAAAGTAAGTTCTTTGATGATCTTTAGAACACTTGTTATTGAAAGCCTCAATGATGCTGATATTTTTTTGTTCTTCAGTCACTGATCATACACCAATTCAGCTTCCACAAGTTCGATTGTTTCAGAAATAACAGCTCCTAATGAGCAATCAGGATGCAAGTCATCTTCAAGATGTTCTCTCTAATACTTGAATAATTTTTTCTATCTACAGAGTACATTTATATACAAGGGTGAGGACTGCCCATACCCGCCATCCAAAAGAATTTTACTTCGCACAGGAGTAAGACCCTCTTTACAAAAGACTTTAATAATGGCATGATATTCGATCTTGAACATTGTAAAAATGCAAAGATTCCTTCATGGCTAGACACTGACTGAAAGGATTGAACAATGGATATAGAGAGAGCAGGCATACATAGGCGTGCATGGCATGGTTGAATAGGAGGGTTCAGAAACTTATGGATCATACTACATAATATTGTTTAGTATTGCTGAATACTATTCTCGACCCTGAGGGTCCTATAGAATTATTTTTAGATGTCTGTTTCTCACCTTTATAAAGATAAAATGACTATATGTGATGAAATAGTTAAAAAATTCAGTATGTGTAATAAGTTATTTGGTTCAAACAATGCAGTTTTGATCGATGACCTTAATAACAGTTTTTCTAGCATGCAGGAATTTCTTGAGAACTAGTAATAGTGCAGGAATTTCTCATGTTCGGGAAATGTACGGAAATTTCTCATTATATCCTGAAAAATTTTGTTTAGACTCTGATTTTTAGATACAATTTAATGAGATGATGAGCTATGAAAAATTTCAAAACTTAAGGCAGAGATTATGGTTGATATAGTATGAGAATTAATTTAGTTTATATTAATAATAAGTGATTACTCTTGAATGGTATAAACAAAATTGTTCAAAACGTTACCCAAGATAATGCATATCAACACTTTTTTTAAAACTTATTTTTTATTTATATATTTTGTCAATATTTAAAATTTGTTATGTTTTTATAATTTAATATATTAAAACTCGAAGATTTTCTGATGTTTAAAAACCACTTCAGAAAATGATACATTGAATATTATAAATCCTTAAAATGATAATAATAAACAACAATCTGCTGATGCCAATGGACCTATTAAGTTTTATAAATAAAAAATACATTGATTCTTGATAGAACTTTGATTCCTTTACTTTTTCTCATGCAACTTATATTATGGACTTCTAGCGATAAACATGAAAGGAATCACATTGGCTCGTAAGTTTTTAAAACTGATTTAAAGAAAATAAATAGCTTTCTTATTGTCTAATGTGAGTGAACTTGAAAGAGATACATGCGGCGATTATGATATGACCATTCTATTTTTATTTCCCTACTGCTACATAAGTATTGTAATCAGGTTATATTATCAATGTGCAGTTTTCAACTGATGTTTATGTTTCAGAGCTCCCCCTAAAAAACTGCCTTTTTAGCCATTGCTCTGTTAGTTTGTCTATGACACAATTATATCGCAAACGGCTGGACAGATTTTGTATTTTCGTTTTGTATGGTTTTAGCCACAGATGCCTACCTGCATAATAGGGGCTGCGCAATAAGAGAAAAACTTGTTTTTTTTAATCCACTGTAGCACTTAAATGACTCTAACGATTTTGATGATTTTGAATCGCCGCATGTATCTCTTTCAAGTTCACTCACATTAGACAATAAGAAAGCTATTTATTTTCTTTAAATCAGTTTTAAAAACTTACGAGCTAAAATGTTAAAATTATAACATCCAAAATTGTAAATAACAAAAAATTTTTTCGTCTGATAAGATTCTTCATTCATAATTTTTAAAGTCTGAATTGCATTTTTCATACGAACAAAACTGAATGAATCCGAAAAATCATTATTACTATACTCAACTCATTTTACTGACTTTTCTGTAGTCATGATTATAGATGCATTTCTAAACTCAAACTAAACTAAGGTAGTAACATGAACTTCTCTTTAAAGGTATTATTGGTTGTAAAAACATTCAATTTAAGTTAGAAGAAAGTAAATGTGGTTGAGCAATATAAACAAATAAGGAGTTGATCATTGTGTCAACTGAAAAATATTAATTTTTCTTTAGAAATGAAATGAAAAAAAAAAAAAAATTACATCTAAACAACCAATACAAAAGTTTTAATAGATTTATTTGATACAATTTAATAAGTATATTCACATAATGAAAAAATCTCATTTTCATAAAATTAGCAGTTAGTCATTCTGTCAACTGAAGGCTCATATAATCTTTTCATAGGCAATTAAATTTTCAAAAAAAAAAAATCCTTGAAATCAAACTGGTAATAACAATGATACAGCATGTTTTATTTTCTACACGTATTAATACAAGGGAAATATTATAATCGGGTGAAATTTTTGATGGGCAGTTTTCAATTGAACTTTATGTTTCAGAGTCCAAAAAACATATTTCTAGGAAAAGGGTGGACCTATTTTGTTGTTTCTTTTAATACATTTTTTTCAAAGGTCATTATTATTTTTCCTACAAAACTGAAGAAAAAAAATTGTCCAAATCATTTATAGCAGTTTTATACACTGATTTTAAATGAACCTATTTGTTTTGTTTGTGATGAATGTGTCACAATAGGGAATCCCATCCTGGAAGAGGTCGAAACCTTAAGTATTTGGGTGTTATAATT